AAATATAAATACTTATAAATTGTAAAATTTATCCTTTCATAATCTTTAATATTTATTTTATAATCAAATATTATATTAAGGATATATAAGACTTAATAATAAACTTAATAATTTAGGGGGGGCGCTTCTGTCTGCCGAAGCTGCTGGCGCGTTTTTTTTACTCACTTCAAATACAGGTAAAGAATGTATCCTGTTTAATAATTTTACGTTAAAATTTTATTTGTTTGGGCTGTGTGTTAACATTATAATTGTTGGAAAATTTATCAACATAATTAATATGCAACGCTCGCCAATTAAAAGAGGAAGACCACCACTTCAAAAGTCAAAATCAACTAGTAGAAAGGAAACTGCTTCGACCACTAATACCAGGTTAATTACTGATTACAATTTACACGTCGAAAGAACTTCTCCTGAACCATCTTCTGCAAACGCAGGTTTGAACCCTGAAACTACACTTCTAAGTTCACAACTATCAGGTGAGCCATATGATTTTTTATCTTCTTCGCCAGGAAAAAATTCATCTGATATATCAAGTATAACACTATGGAATAAAATTTCTGAATTAATTAATGTTTCTAATACGAGAATATTAAGTCAAATGACTATTATCAAAGAAGATTTGGACCAGATTCGTAATAGTATCCAAGAAACTAAAGTCCAGAATCAAAAAATGAATAGCCAAATAATTAATCTTGAACAACAAATTGCTAATTTGAAAATAGAAAATGAAAGTATGCAATATCGAATGGACAATATGGTTAATGCGCAACATCGAAATAATATAATGTTATATAGATATCCCAGTAAAACTAATCCTACCAAGCTAGAAGTGTTTAATCTTATTAATGAATCATTAGAATTACATGAAGTTACAATGGATGATTTAATAGCGATTATTCCAATAACTAAATCACAGTATCCAACAATTAAATTAATTATTAAAAATACCCAAATAAGAGATTATATATATTCGAGTTTTATAAAAATGAAACAGCAAAACCTATCGAACGTATGGAAAGAAACTCAAATTTCACAGGATCTTATAAAAAGATCTAGATTAAGACGTAAACAATTAATTCCTTTTTTAAGCAAGTTAAGGAAAGCAGGTAAATATCCAAAACTCCGAGGTGATACTATATTGTTGGGCAATTATTCTTTGACGTATAGCTATGTGTTGGAGGGGCTGGTATACTTGGATTCTTTTACCCCGTATTTTACTTCTGAGAACACTCCGCAATGACATATGATCAATTTAAATTCTCCTATTCAAGACTTACGTATTGTTGAGACTCAATTATTAAGTCCCTTGCGTGCAGCACATAATAATAATGAAAGTTTATACTGGATATAAGAATTTAAGAATGAAAATTATTAAAGCATTACTTCAGTTAAAAAAATTATCTACATCAACGGCATTCAGTCAATATCGTTAAGCCAAAAATTTGTATTTCAATCTATTAAAATCTAAGAAATCAAATTACTATAAAAAAATTTAACAAATAATCTTAGAAAATAAAAATAGTGAACTTTTAAAGTCTACGATTAAGAAATTACGATGTTTCAATTGTGATTAATCAATGCAAATAGATTCTTTTAAATGGCTAACTTTTTTAATAGATTTACAGGAATTACAGTCTTCCTTATGCCGATATAAAAAATTTCTTTCAATGAAAGTTTAGATATTCCAATATCTATCGAAGATCTGGATATATCAATTCGTAAATTAAAAACGAAAACAGCTCTTGGAATGGATATAATTACCACTAAATTTATTAAACTTCTTCTGCCAGCGGGTATGCAAGTTCTACTTGTTCTTTACAATCATTTTTATAAATCATTTATTATATTTTTACTGAGTGTCCAAAGATTGAAGAAGCGTAATGTAAATTCAAATTAAAAGAGATTTTTTGATTTAAATTAAGAAGAAAACTTCAGAACTAATCAAGAAAAAATTTCCATTGTATAAGATGTATAATATCCATTACTTTTTTGTTCATATTTTAAATAATTCGAAATATGATATGTAGATTGAATGATTAATATGTTATGTTTAGCAAAATTTATGTAACAAGATATTTAAAAAAAATATGTTTCAATAAGTAATAATTGTATTTTTGTAATTCTCTAAAGCTAACCCCCTGTAACAAGAATTTTCTTATTACAATAAAGTATTTTTAATAATAATAATAAACTTAATAATTTATAATAAAATATATTTTAATTTTAATGTAATTTATTCGTCTTATATAGTTATTATTCTTATAAATTTCTGTGTATATCCTCTCTACTTGGATCTTGTTTATTAATTACTTATTACATTAGTGAAGTTTCTGATTAGCAAAGAGAGGAGAACTTAGTCAAAAGTTCTCTATTTGCTAATGGAAACTACACTAGTATAATAAAGCCTATTAATAAACCAAAAGGACCAGTTGACATGTAAAAGGAAACATTACATATTAACTAGTCAATAACTGTATATGTCAAAAGTAACAAGGATAAATTTAAAGAGAATTTTTTACAATTAGCTTAAGTTTTTATGACCTTCGAATTAACTATTTATAGAATATAAATCTTGTTTTATTTAAATAATAATAAGACTTTTCTCGTCATTGTTATGACATGTGACATCAGTTTGGCAGTCATTTATATTTTTGTTGATTTGATCCAATTGGCAATGCTTTGTTGCTAAGTTGTTAATCGCAAGACAAGCAGCTGTTCGATAGAAAAAAAATTTTTTTACAACTTCCAGATAACAATTGTAATAATTATTACTTATTTAGTTATTTCTAATCTATTTTTAAGTACTCCGAATTTTGTTGAAATAGAATTTAGAAATAAAATGCATAATTTACTTCGTTTTTTTCCCTTCTTCTTCTTCTTTAGATACAATATTATAAGGCTCATTAATTTGAACTATTTAATGTTTTTAAATAGAGAACAAGACCTGTAAAGTAGTTACGTAACACGAGCGAGTCTAACAATAGCTTATATTTAACGATGATCGTTTTTAGTACATTTAAAATTAAACTTAATTATATTGATTAAATAAAAGTTAATTTTATTTACTGTTTAATTTTTATGTAATTATCTTATAAAATCAGTAATTTAATAGGTTAAACATTGAAGTCAAGTGTTTCTATGTATGTTAAATCAGTAAGAAATGAAACGTGTTACCTTGCCTGACGCTTTGAAAAATTTGTTAACGATCAAGTAAATTTTACCTCTACTTTTTTGTGAGAATATAATAACATAATATAATATTACATTGAGAAGAGCGTATTTAAGTGCATAACAAGCAAAGTTTTTTGTTTGTTTACGCATTAACTTTCATAAAAATGAGATGATTAACTCTCGACTTTCACAAATAAAATTGCCTGTTATTAACTTAATTTATTTTATTTTTTTTCACGCAGGATTAATATCAAATATGATAATTATTACATATCTCGTAAGAAAATAATAATAATATTAAATTATCTCGTGATATTTATCTGTTTAGCTTAAATTAATCATTTTAACTGTTTGTTTTTACTAAATAAATGAGGTCTTTATTTTAAGGTGACCCACATTTTAAATAAAAACGTTTACATTTTTGCAGAATCAGTAAAATTTTTTAATTATTTTTTTCCTTTTTTAACTTGTAAATTTGTGAAAAAAGAAATGATAATAAAATAAAAACAAATTAATTGAATTTTAACGGCTATTAACTAAATATAAATAACAGAAATAGCAATTTTAGTAGAGTAAAAGGTTAATTTTCTTAAAAGATTTATTTTTATTTTTGTTGTCCCAATTGCAAATAACTAATGCAACTTTTTAAGATATTCTAAAATAAAATTAGAATAAATTTTATATAAATATAAATCATTTAATTTAATAAATAAATAACATATATAGATAATAAAAAAAAGTAAACGAACTAAAATCAATCGATCAATATGGGCAAAATAAGTTAAAATTTAAGTTTAAAAACACTATAAAAAAATGATTTATAAATTTATATATTCATCTCTAAAGATAATTTAATATTAAATATTATAATTATAAGAAAAATCATATTATGTAACAGGTGAATAACTGTCATTCACGTTATAAATCACGTGCATGCATATATTAAGAATATTGAATATGCCATTATTCTATCAATATAAAATTTAATTATGTAATATATTTATTTAATTAAAGGTATCATTGACCTTATTCAAAATAGATCAATAAATATTTCTGGTTTAGTATAAAAATAATATAACTACCGATTAAATAAATTGATATTTATGTAATATCAATATTTATATTGATATAAAACCTGATTAAATATTTTATAATCTTTTAAAATGATATTTTATTTTTAAATTTAATATATTTAACTGTTTACAGATCGTCTATAAAATATTTTATAATTAATAATAAACAATAAATTAAATTAAAATGATTAAATTGGATAAAATTTCTGCTTCTGTACAAATAAATACTCAAGTAAATTGATTTATTATAGTTAATTCTGTCAAGTTTTAGATAAATTAACTTTAATTTATAAATGACGATTATAAAATAAAATAAAAAAAATGAATTTTAATTCCATTAAAACTCAGATTTTTTATCAAATATCTTATACTAAAGCATTTTCTATATCTAAAATACATATAATCTAATTTATATTCATTTTTATGTCAATTATAACAGGAAATAAACTATCAAATTGTGATGTTATTTTAAGTATGCTGACCTTTTTAAACTCGTAAAGAGTTTAAATTATTTATTCAAATAAAAAAATAATAATAATAATAAACAATTGTTTATAATAGTGTTTTTCTTTTACTTTCTTCGAAATAATCTTAAACAAAGGAAGATATTTGAACTCAACACTTGCCAAATTTTATGACATTTATTTAGTTATTTTTAGATGTTAAGGTCGTTCTTTATACGGATCAAACAATTGATATTTTTTTTTTCCTCCCCCAAAATTATTATAATAATGAAGATACAGTTAACTAACTTACTTGTTGCTTACGTTTTGCTTCCTCGTAGTGAATAACTGGTTAAAATTTCTTCTGGCGAACAAACGAATGAGTGAATAGATCCATACGGCTGTGACGTCACATAAAGTTAAGTACAGTACCTACAGAACATCAATGACGTCACGGCGGATTAAAATACCTATCGAGTGTCGATGACGTCAGTTCGAATTTCGGATAAATTTTCAACCAAAATAATATAATTTAAGAAAAGTATGAATAACTTGGAGTATAATAAGAGGTAAGATATATTAATTTATAAACATTTTAAATATAAATAAATATATTTAATTAATATCAGGATTTCCTATTTCCGTTTCGAGGAAAGTATAGAATGTATTCGAGATATTTTAATATAGATGCATATTTTACGACTTCGTTTTATATTTGTCAATGTTTTACGCCCTTATTAAGGTATTTTATATGAGAAAGAAATTTCGAATAACTCTACAAAAAGTATTCAAACAATAACTTTCTTAAGTTTCATCAATTAATTTATAATTCGAGATCGTATTAAAATATCTATACGTGTAAATTAAATCGAAACAGAACGAAATTTCGGTGATTCAAATACACTATGAATAGCTCTTAATATAAATACAATAGATCAAAGTATATTTTTTAAAAAAATTTACTTCCAAGTTTAGTCGTAGGTCAATATCGGAGATAAATAATCAAACTTTCCCAAATAATATAACAATATTTTATTTATTTTCTAAAAATGAAAGTGTTAAAGAAAAGTAAACTTTATGAAACTATCACTGCAGTGAAGGCATTCAGAATTATTAATTCAAGAATATTCTATCTAAATATACATTAAATGCAAGTGTTTTATTATTGTTAGGGAATTATAATATAAAATTCCTTATTAATAAATCATACAGATTTTTTTCATTTATACAATATTCACTGCTAAACTATTTTCTGCGATGCTGGAGAGTCATCCCGCTGCTCTGGAGAATCTGACAATGAGTTAGAATCCGAATCTTCTCGGAAATATTCAGGTTGACTCAGACATCTCGAGCTTAGTCCCTTCACTGCTCGACCACCCTCATTACGGATTTGACCAAACTCGTGATGGATATGTAAATATGTCCTACAGATAACGTAAAAATGATGGGCACGTGTTTTTACGTGCTTATCATGAGTTTGTTTATACTATATACGGCATAAAGAGTTAAAAATATTTTATGTATAATATGTAATAATGCTTTAATATACAGTATATATATTAAAATCAGTATTACAAAATATATAAACTACATGATACAGACTTACATGATAAATACAATAAAATGTACATATTTGGAGAAATATNACGCATCGATGCCCTATCAAGGGGAAAAATTGTTTATAAAATTCAGCAGGTAGCCCATCTGGTCCTGGTGATTTGTTATTTCCCATGCTATTTAGCGCTGCATTGCATTCTTCATAAGTAATGTTTCTATTTAGCTCAGTACTCTGCTTATTGTTAAGCTTTGGCATTCGAGACATGAGGTCTCGTGCTTTTCCTTCGTGAAAACTTCGTGAAAATTTTTATATCCTTCTGTGAATGGATATAAAAATACTGTAAGTAGTTTCTCAAGGCAATTACTTTAGACAATATTACTGGTTTTTTATTGTAAAATTTCTTTCATTTCATAGAAATGCAGTACATTCTAAATATTGTATTAAAAATTTTACATAAAATTTAATTAAATAAAAGTGGCAAACTATAGAAACGTCCATTGTCTGTTATCTTGAAGTAAAATTTTAAATCTTGTAAACACATTAGCACCGCCGGACCAGTTTTGACGGTCCAAAAAAATTCCTGGTATATGCTAATCCGGCAAACACTTCGATCGATCACCATAGAACTTTATTCCGTATAGCCAGTTGGACATGTTGATTTACCGAAGAGCTTAGCCCAATTAGAATAGAGATAACTTTGAATAAAACAAAATGGTTCCTCTTCATATTTTCAATTAATATAGTTTCCAGTAGATATACCGAATATTTTTCTACTATAAGAAATACAGTGGGTGATCGGTTAACGAACATAATCCGTTCCAAGACGTTGTTCGCTATCCGAATTGTTCGTTAACCGATTATCGATTTACCATAGTTTTCTATGAGAATTTGATTAATTCGTTCTGGAGACCCCAAAAAATAAAAATATATATACTTTCTTACTACGTTTATTTATATGTAATAAAAATACATATATACCCAGACTTGCATTTTTATTAGTCATGTTTTTTTTTGTTTGTTTGTTTGTGGTGGTTAAATATCTGTATAATGTCGATTGCTCTTCTCTCTTCTTCAAGATTTTCAGAATTAATAACATTGTAATTGTAGAGATCCCCAAGCCTATTAACCTCATCCTGGTTTGTATGCCATTCTAAGACCGTTGATCTGACATCCCCACTTCTTCAGAAGATCTTTAATTAATAGCAGATATCGGCATTAATCCTTTTTTTCAGAAGAAAACATATCTCGCAGAGTTTCTTGTGTTCTTCATTCAATAGTTCTTGGCGTTCTTCTGTCGTCAGATCCGTTTCAGATTCCATTATGAACTCTTCGATGTTCTTTATTTCTCAGATGTGATATTTGTTACTCCTTTAGCTGTTTGAGTTTTCTTAATTATACTGTATCTTTCTTAGATAAAATTGAACTGCACCCTACTGTAGACCTGTTCGAGCCATACTGCCCAGCAACATCAGACATCTGCTCATCTTTGCTATTATACTCTCACCTATCGAAAATAAAAACCGACGCAAAACTTAATGAGTGCCCGCCCGATAGTCTCGCGAATACTATAAAAGAATTGTTTGTCAGAAAAATAAAAGGCTGGAATTACAAGGGAGTATTTCAAAGTTCGAGGAATACTATCTGATCAGTATATATCGGGTTGAACGTGGTCGTTGACGTCTCCCACGCTCCAAAAAGTTACCGGAAGACAAAGGAAAATCAATCGGTATTTGCTATTTCCGTCGCTTCTTTTTATGTTTGTTCAGTGAAGTGTTCGTTGTCCGATCATAAAAATCTTTCACGAAAGTGTTCGTTATCCAATTTATTCGTTAACGAATCTGTTCGTTAACCGATCACCCATTGTGTTATAAAGATAGTATATATTTCTTTATGAATATTCAAGAAAAATCCTAACAAATCGTACCAAATTTCATAAGTTATTCGAATGCAAGATTCATTAAATATGTAATACAACACACAAAATTATTTACGAAGTTAGATGTTAATATTAATCCTCGTAATACGAATACAATTAAAGAGAGAATTAGGTTGAATTTTGCGGTCCAATCAAAACCACTGGAGATCTAGGATTAAATTCGGACAAGCATCTTTCGAGATACACAAGGCTCCGTTCCTCACCAGTGGCACCCTCATTGTGGTTCGGTCGAATTCACGACGAGCACAATTAAATAGGCCTTCTTAGTGTCCAGAAGACAGCCAAAACGAGCTAAAAATGAAATATATATATATATTTGATCAAAAATATTCTACTATTTTTCGTATTTTTTTCAAGTAACTTAAGTAACTTCTTTTAATGAGAAATTTTAATATTGAAATTGCATCTAGCTTTGTTCCAATTATTCATGTCTTGAAAATATAAAATAAACTATATTTCTCTGTAAATTTTTATTTTAATTGAATAATTGATATAAACATCTTCAGTTAATTCTCGCCGTGTTATTACAGTTCTATAATAAAAGCTCTACTTGTAATATGTTTCGAATGTTCTAGTGTTGACATTTATACGTGGTTTTTGGGGATGTTAGGCCCGGTCCCTCACCACCATATCGCCCCATTGTGGGTCTAACCGAACCCATAATGGGCTTGCTTAAAAGAATCTCTTAATACCCACAGGGTGGGAAGAGAGAGAAAAACAACAATGAATAATGTTAATATATATATCATAATTTGTTATATATATATATCATAATTTGTTTTTTGATTAATATAAAGAATAGTGACTATTGTGAATATTTTAATGTAATATAAATATTATTTAAACTTTATATATAACATAATAGGCACCAAATGCCTTACGTTACAAATTATCAATTAACACACCAATAATTGCTGTATAATGACTTAAATATTCGTTCAGATTGCGTAGAGTCTATACTATAAACTATTAGAGAATCTCTTCTTGAAATATGATGTATGAATTATATAAACTAAAAAGATATTCAAGATAATTATACAGTGTTTGGAATCCAAATCAAAAGAATATCTGTAACCTATTTTTACTTCATTATAATAATTATTCTATATTATCGTTTCATATCAAGCATGTCCAATTCGACTTTTGCAATAAAAGACCACACGATACGTATTTCACTTACGTTGACTCATTGAAACAATATATATTAATGCTATCAATTATTGTTTGGTGGAAAATTAGATTTAACTAATTGTTGATATTTTTCATCAAAAATATTTTTAATATAAATAACTTGATTTCATTTTTAGAGCTGCTCACGAGGCTCGTAAAGTCTCTATATTGTTATAAACTTTGAAGATTTATTGTAGAAAAGAAAATTGATCAAGAATTTTTATTCGTGGATTTTCCTCATAGTAAGTCACAATGTACTGTTATTAACCTATTCACATTACTTTCACGTCTTGCCTGTATTTATTTATTTTTTTACCTTTCTATTGACGCCTTTCTTTTATCACAAAACACTGATTAACTGATTATAAATGCATTAATTGTTTATTATACCGTATATAAAAATATTAAAATGAAATTATATATTTTATTGATGTTATGAATAGAAGAAAGACATTATATTGTTATTCAAATTTAATAATATTCATTTACTATCCTGTNAAAAAAAAAAAAAAGGTGTGTAACTTCAATGTGGAGACTGTTTATTACGGACATGGACTGTGCATTTTAATACACTACGATTGATTTTCGACCTCCCGTAACGGACACAGGAGATTCTAATCGAGTCGACTTCCTTGTTTGGCATTTGTAGTCACTATACTAAAAACTTAATACTTCATTCCTATTGAGTCCTTAGAATCAATTTGACAGCACAATTTTATAGAAGTATCAGCTGTTATTTTAACTTAACGATAGCTGATTTGCTGTTGTAGGAATTCGTTTAGTGTCTCTATTCACATCAAT